GGAGAACCGGTAGTGGAAATTTTGAGTAGTTCGGAGAACCGGCAAAAACCACCTCTTGCTGGCCACAGAGTGGGGTGGGAATGGAGATTTTGCAGTATCCTTCCCCTGCCACACCCACCAAGCCACACCACGCCCACCAACCCATGCCCACAGAACTGGTAGTAAAAAAATGTGGATTTCACCACTGGGGAGGTTTTATTATTTTGGGGTGCGTGGAGCAAGATGGGGCTTTTCTTGCCATCTTACCTGATTTCCAGCTCTGTCTCCTTAACCCTAACCAGAGGAAATGGCAGGGAATATTTTTGGGGAGGGCTTGAGTGCATGCACTCAAAAGCGCAATTGGGCTTATTATCAGGGGATGTCTTATTTTCAGGGAAACAGGGTAGGTAACACGAGATCAGAAGGTACCAATAAAAGAGAATAGTTGTAGCTTCAGGATTGAAATGAGGGACCCTTGAGACTTCCTGTTTGCTGCTGGCCGCCGCCAGACGTTCCTTTGGGATCGTCAGCTTCCACTGCCTGTCAGAGCCGCCTTCACAATGGAACGGCGGCTCGAAAAAACTCCGTTCCCATGAGGAAACGGAGATAGAGCCGGCAGGGGTGGGTAGAACTCTCTGCAGAGTCCCAAAAGTTTTTCTTTTACTTTTGGGATGGAGCGGATGAGATGCCCCATATCCCCAGCCGCTGCTCCGGGCTTTGGGAGACCTCTGCTAATGCAGAGCCAGGCGTCAAAAGCAAGCTTGCGAATTTGACAGATTACTCAAAGAAAATGTGAGCTGGACCTGTAATACTGAAGCGCAAGTATTTTACTTATCTTTTAAAAATTACTTAAGAGAATAGAGGAAGAGAAAGAGGAAAAAAGTTTCTTTTTAAAATGGCGTCTGCCGCGGCTGGAGAAGAGTTTGAGAGGGAAAGTTCTTCCGTTTTTTATTATTACAATGTAGCGGAATAAATACCACTGGCTACATTTGTAGACAAAACTCCGCTCCTGTTTTTGTTTTTCTCTTTTTTCCCTGGAGGCTTGAGTGTTGCTGGCTGGAAGTCTTTTGTCTTGTTTTTTTTTTTTTTTCTTCTTCTAACAAAGCCTGCTTAGGCGGAAACATGGCACTGAGGCTTGTGAAGTCAGACAAACAAATAGGTGGGGGGGATTCCCCCACTAAGAATTTAAAGGAACAAGTTTTAACTCTTCAGTCCCAGAAACCTGATTTTAATATAATAGAATTTCTCTTAGAGGAGATTGAAAGAAGGGATGAGATTGTGAACCAGCAACTTGAAAAATTTAAGCAGGAAATTAAGGAATTGGTGAAATCCAAGTTTGACTTTTTGCAGCAAAAAATTTTAAAATTGTCAGAATTCATGATTCGGTTGGATACAAATACTAATTTACTAGAGTCAAAAATGGATGAAATTCAAGATAAATTGGACAATAGAATTCAAAAAATTGAAAATGATTTGTTAAATATTCAGGATTATAGTTCAGAAGAAAAATTTAAAATGGATGCTGACCAAAAGTCTGGTAATGTAGAATATCTGGAACAGAGGATTCAAAAAGAGGTTCTAAAGATACAATATAATTTCACAGAATATGCAATAAGACTTAGAGGTTTGCAGGAAAATAACAGAGATGACTTAAGGAAAATATCTTCTGAATTTCTAGCTGGGATTTTAAAGATTCAACCTGAGGAAGTGTTTTGTAGGATTGACAGAGCTTATCGAATAAACTCCTGGACTGCCAAGCAAAGGCAATTGCCTAGAGATGTGGTAATCTATTTTTCAGATAAAGAAATTAGGAATAAAATTGTGCAAAATTCCTTCAATTCTAATTTGCAATTGTATGGAAGAAAGATTTGGATTTACAAGGAACTCCCACCTAAGATACTAATGGAAAGGAAGAAATTTGGCTTTCTGGTGTCTGAGTTAAAAAGGAGAAATATTCAATTCCGGTGGGACGTCCCAGTTGGTATTATATTGAGATATCAAGGAGAAAGATACCAGTTAAATACTGTTGAAAGGGCGGAAGAATTTTATCAAAATAGGTTGAAAATGAATTTAACGTCTTCAGATATAATACAGGATAAGCAGAAGGAGCTGGAACTAAAGACAGAGACTGTACCAGATAAATTGCCTTTGGATTTATCGGATACCCCAGCTGGATTATCTACAAATTTGAGAGAAGTGCCATCTGATTTTAATGTGATGACTTATCAAGGCAAGGACAAGCATGGAAACCAATTAGAGGATATACAAGGGATAAAAAAGAAATGCGAGACACAAAAAATTAGGATGGAGGTCAAACCCACAAAAAGAAAACAAAAAAAGAAATAGGTTGTACAAAAATAGAAATTTCTAACCCAAGCAACAGTGAAGCCAGTGATTTTAAAATATGAATGATTATGTGAAAACATAGAGGAGGCGACATATTGGTCAATATCATCCTGAGGATAGTGGCAGATCTCTGCATTGCCGTAATTTTGGGACATGGAAAGAGCCTCAAATTGATGGTTTTGAATTATCTACTTTGAAACTTCTTTTTGTGTTGATAAATATATTATAATTATCTTGAATTATAAGGCAAGAGAATCACATTGGGACATGCAGAAGATCGGGTTGTTACCCAATACGATGATGGAAATTAATAATCCTGATGAAACCCACAATTATTATTATATGGAATACAATTATAATGTCACTCGGGTGGTTGTTTTTACTTTTATATATATAAGAAGATGTTTACTACTGATGGGGGCAGATATGATTGGAGATCTTGAATAAACTGTTGCATCCGCAAGCTATGTCACCCTATTATGGATGTTGGTTTTAACAATCCAGTGGAAAGACTTCAAGAAGATATTATATGGACTATAAATTTAAAGTTATTGTCTTTTCTTTTTTTATTTAGATATAATGGAATATATATATATATATATTTTTAAGTAGTGTGGGCAGTGAATTAAAGATATCAAGAATTGTTGTGTATGGTAAATTTGTAAGACAGTGGGTGAATAAGCTAGCTACAGACTGATTAGTTTAAGAAAAGGGATTTTTAAGTGATACATTTAGGGGAGTGGAGGAAATGGATAGAGTGGAATAAATGTTAAATTAGATTTTATGGGGAGCCCGCTTTGAAATGTTATTAAAGTAGGACTTATTGTATAGTTTTAAAGTGGAAGGTGGTTTTGAATTGTTGCAATAATGCATAGATATAAAACACTATTATGCTAAATTAGAGTTATTTTATAATAGTTATAGTATAATGTGTTTTTTTTTTTGTTTTTTTTTTCTCTTCTTCTTTTCTGAAATGTATGGATAAAGGGGGATTTATAATACTTTTAGTAAGTAAAGGTCAGTATTTTGAGGAGGGAGTAAGTAATCTGTTATGAATTAGGGTTTTTTTTTGTTACGAAGAAGTCACAGGGGGGGAAGGGTGGGGAGGGGGGGTTAGGGAGGGGGGGGAGGGGGGGGAAAAAGGGGGAAAAATTTGTATTTGAAAACCTTTTCAATAAAAAAAAAAAAAAAGAAATGAGGGACCCTTGTTGCTCTCTGAGCTTCGTTGTTTTCTTGCAAACGTTTCATTTATTTATTTTTTTAATTTTGATTTATATGCCGCCCTTCTCCGGAGACTCAGGGCGGCTTACAATGTGCTCAGCAATCGCCTTCATCCTTTTGTATATTTATACAAAGTCATCTTATTGCCCCCACAAACTGGGTCCTCATTTTACCTACCTTAGAAAGGATGGAAGGCTGAGTCGACCTTGAGCCTTGGAGAGATTCGAACCTGCAGTAATTGCAGGCAGCTGGTCTTAATAACAGGGTGCTTTAAACCACTGTACTACCAAGGCTCATTACCCAATTAGATAACATCATCAGGGCTAGCTCAGCACCACATAGCACTGATGGTGTTACCTGGTTGGGTAATGAAACACCTGTAAAAACACAACAAGGACTTGACAGTTCAATCCCAAATCCACTAATATTCTTTTCACTTAACCTCGGGAGCGTTTTTTTCCAATACTCAAGGCAATACAGGAGAACTAAACAAAACAGCTTTTTTTAAAAAAACCATCGGCCAGTTTCAAGAGCAGAGAAGCTGAGCAGACAGTTGGGTGGAGTTTTTTTTTTCACAGAAGTCCAGCGAAATCCACCACCCTGCCTCCTGTGTTCCTGCACATATTTGACTATGACGCGGTCAAGGTACAGGTATAAATGGAGGTCGGTGTGCATTGTGATGCGGCCGCGCGGGTGGTTATGGGAGCGACGTGGCGTTCCCATGTGACACCCCTTCTGCGCGAGCTGCACTGGCCCCCAGTGCGATTCCAGGTGCGCTTCAAGGTTTTAGTTACCACCTTTAGAGCGCTCCATGGCTTAGGACCGGGGTACTTACGGGACCGCCTTCTGCTGCCAGTAGCCTCCCACCGGGCAGTACGCTCACATAGAGAGGGGCTCCTCAGGGTGCCGTCGGTCAAACAGTGTCGACTGGCGACCCCCAGGGGGAGAGCCTTCTCTGTGAGGGCGCCTGCCATTTGGAACGAGCTCCCCCCGGAGATACGGAGGATCCTGGATTTACACACTTTCCGCCGTGCCCTCAAGACTTTTTTATTTGAACAGGCTGGACTGGCCTAACTTCCTTTTAATTGTTATTTTTAAATTTGTTTTAAAACAAATTGGGGGTGTTTTAATTTGTTTGGGCCAAATTATTTAATGTGTTTTTATATTGTTTTTAAATTTTGTATTATGTGTGTTTTATCTTTTGCCTGTTCACCGCCCTGAGTCCTTCGGGAGTAGGGCGGTATATAAATCCAAAATAAAGTAAATAAAGTAATAAAGTAAAAATTGCGCTCTTTACATATGCGTCTGTGACACTGCACCAAATGGCAGAGCTTGCACGATGACATCACAAAGGCCTGTTTCATGATTATGGTGTCGTCATGGTTAGGAATGGATGCCTGTGAACATAGAACATTGGAATCACAGAGTTGTAAAGGGACTTTGGAGGTCTTTTAGTCCTGCTCAAGCTGGAGACCCTATAACATTTTGGACAAATGGCCGTCCAGTCTCCTCTTGAAAACTACCAGTGATGGAGCACCCACAATTTCTGGAGGTAAGGTTCTCACTGATAGGAAATTACTTCTTAATTCTAGGTTGTTTCTCCCCTTGATTAGTTTCCACCCATTGCTTCTTGTCCTGCCTTCTGGTGCTTTGGAGAATAGCTTGACTCCCTCTTCTTTGTGGCAGCCCCTGAGATATTGGAACGCTGCTATCCTGTCTCTCCTAGTCCTTTTTTTCTTTAGACTAGTAATACCCAGTTCCTGCAACTGTTCTTTATATGTTTTAGCCTCCAGTCCCCTAATTATCTTTGTTGCTCTACCCTGCACTCTTTCTAGAGCAGTGATGGCTAGCCTTTTTCTCGTTGTGTGCTGAAAGCGCCCAAATGCGTATTCGACAGCATACACGCGTGCCGGCACCCATATGGCGATGCGCGCATCCCTGTGCACATGCGCGCATGACCCCCCCGCTCACCCCACCCCGTGCATGCACATGTGACCCCCACACACCCCACACCCAACGCATGCATGCACAAACTCCCTGCCCCCTGTTTTTGGCCTAAGAGGCCTCCCTCTCGCCTCCTGGACCCAAAAACAGGCCGTGGGGGGGGGCAGGTCACTCCCCCCATGTCCCGTTTTGGGCCTAGCAGGCCTCCCTGCAGCCCCCAGTGCTCCGCCTCTGCCCCCCCGCATGTGTGTAACCCCCCCCCCGCATGCGACCCCCATGCTCGCCGTGCATCTCTCCATGCCCCCCACCTCCCGTGCACCCCAAAAATCAGCAGGCTGGTGGGAGACGCGCACATGCCCAGTAGTGGTAAGCTGGGCGACGGCTCGCGTGCCCGCAGAGAGGGCTCTATGTGCCAGCTGTGTGCCATAGGTTCGCCATCCCGAATCTAGAGTCTCAACATCTTTTTTATAATACGGTGATCAAAACTGGATGCAATATTCTAGGCGTGGTCTTACTAAGGCTTTATAAAGCGGTATTCGTAGGAAGAAAGAGGCAAGGATCTAGATTCTTCCCTCTCTATTTTAAAGCATTTCCAAAATCATGTACGGACTGTGGCTTTTCAGAAGCAGAAGCTGAACTACAAATGGGAACAAATGAAAATTGTGTCTGGGAGAAGACAGGCAAAATAAGTTGCTTTGATGGCCGGGTCTGCCCCCTGGTGGCTCATGAATGGAGAAGTATTACATCCATCCATAAATGGGTGTAAAAATATTTTTAGCAGCTGCAAACCCAAAATAGATGCAATATCGTCAACAAACGGACTGCATGTTTTTAGAACAGCTGCTTCATCATAATTCTGCAGAGGGAAAAAAAAAGAGAAAGAGGAAGAACGGAAGAAAAATGTTACTGATGATTTAGGACATACCAGTTGTCAAAGGCTAGTTGGGAATTCTAAATTTAAATATTAAGTCTTGATTTAGCCAAGAACGTGTTAATACTGACACTAGCTTAGCCTAGCTCGGGGATAATAGCATTTATAAAAAGATAAAAGGTTCCCCTCGCACATATGTGCTAGTTGTTCCCGACTCTAGGGGGCGGTGCTCATCTCCATTTCAAAGCCGAAGAGCCAGCGCTGTCCGAAGATGTCTCCATGGTCATGTGGCCAGCATGACTCAACGCCGAAGGCGCACAGAACGCTGTTACCTTCCCACCAAAGGTGGTCCCTATTTTTCTACTTGCATTTTTTACCTGCTTTTGAATGGCTAGGTTGGCAGAAGCTGGGACAAGTAACAGGAGCTCACCCCGTTACGCAGCACTAGGGATTCGAACCACCAAACTGCCGACCTTTTGATCGACAAGCTCAGCGTCTTAGCCACTGAGCTACCGCATCCCTTAATAGCATTTATAGATTAAAAAATTGCTATTCAAAGGGGCAGATGATGTTATGTACCCGTGATGACACGTGTGCCAGAGGTGACACGCAGGGCCCTCTCTGTGGGCACGCATGCCATTGCCAACTACTCTTCTGGTTTCCAATGCTGGTCTTCGCAGGCATCGGAGCGCCGGAAAACAGCCTGAAAACAGCCAAAAATCAGGCCGTTTTTGGGCTGTTTTCAGGCTGGTTTTGGCCCCAAAAATGGTCTGAAAACAGTCCGAAAAACAGTCCAAAAATGGCCTGAAAACGGCCAAAAAACCAGCCAAAAAACAAGCATGCATGCACCGGCCAGCTAGTCTTCAGGTTTCCGGTGCTCCAGTGCGTGCACATGGACACGCGTTCCGGTTTGGGCACTCGGTGCCGAAAAGGTTCACCATCACTGCTATATACTGTATGCTATGACATCACACAAATGATGCCCTTCGTGGCAATGATGTAGTTTGCACCTGGATCTTATGTTTTTGCTAAAAATGCAAAAAGAAGCTCTAGAGCAGCGTTTCTCAACCTTGGTAGCTTGAAGATGGGTGGACTTCAATTCCCAGAATCCCCCAGCCAGTCAACACTTCATCAGGGTATTATAATTCAATCGGCCTCAGGTATTATGTTATTGATGGCAAGGTGGTGTTTGACCCAATTCCTATAGAGGCCTGGGTTAAACTGGCAGTCTCTCCTATAGACTACTCATAAAGTTACTACTCATTGTAAGGAAACCAGCTTAGATGTTGCATTCCAGGCAGGGGTGAAATCCAGCAGGTTCTGGAGAACTGATAGCGGAAATTTTGAGCAACTCGGAGTCCCATCAAATACCACCTCTGGCTGGCCGAGTGGGGTGGGAATGGAGTTTCTGCAATATCCTTCCCCCAGGAGTAGGGAGGGAATGGGGATTTTGCAGTATCCTTCCCCTGCCACACCCACCAAGCCACACCACGCCCAGATTTCACCACTGACTCCAGGGTTTCTCTTTGCCACTTCCCTGCCAGCTTCAATCATCACTCCACCCACCCAAGTTGGAAAATTACCGGTTCAGTCCTGCCACTAGAGGGGCAGCTCAGCGGTTAAGATGCTGGGCTGGCCAGTTCGAGACCAGAGCGCCACGTGATGGGGTGAGCTCCCGTCCTTGCCCCAGCTCCTGCCAACCTAGCAGCCTGAAAACATGCAAATGCAAGTAGATAAATAGGTACCACTTCAGTGCTCTGTGACATCATGTTGGCCACATGACCCACATAAGTATCTTCAGATAGCACTGACTCAGTGGCCTTGAAACTGAGATGAGCACCATCCCATAAAGTCGGCAATGACTAGCGGAGTAAGGGATTCTTTTACCATTTTTACATGCCACTTGGGCACAGGTGGCCCATGGCTATTTGTAACCGGGCCAGGGTGGATGCCAACCATGCTCTCATAAGCAGTGCTCCAAAGTTTTCGCTCTTGCCTGAATGGAGCTGCCCGGTTCCCCTCTCCCCCCTTCCCAGCCGGGCCGCCAAGCCACCTGCTCCAAAAGCAGAGCAGTGAGAGGAGGCCTTATTATCACAGGGGTGTCAAACTCGATTTCATTGAGGGCCACATAATAATAATAATAGCCTTTATTGCCATTGTACATCATGTATACAACGGAATTGGTTTAGCTTCTACTGGTGCAATCCATAACAGAAAATACAAGACAACATGAATAATATCAGGGCTGTGTTTAACCTGGGGGGGGGGGGGGGGGGGGGGGGGGGGGGGGGTGGCGTGGCGAGCTTGTGTCAGGGCGCCTGTGATGGCCCGATGCTCTTCCAGCGAAAACGGACCCCCAAGCTCCGTTTTGGCCACAACAGTATCCTGCAACCTTCTGCCAGTGAAAACGGAGCTTGGGAGTTTTACCCGCTGCCCTTTGCCAGCTGTTTTCCGTTGCGATGGACTCCTGCAACCCTAAGCCAGCAAAATGGAGCTTGGGAGGGCCATTCTGTGGGCAAGTCCTTCGCTGTTGCCAGGGTGGCCTGGTGGGCCAGATCTGGGCCACCCCCACCCCCACCCCCCGGGCTCGAGTTTGACACCCCGGCATATGAATTTGTGTAAGTTTAGAGGAGATGCTGATACATGAAAAGCACTGCTTCCTGGCAGGCCAGCTTCCCACTTTCGTCTGAAATTAAAAACCTTGGAGTCTTATCAATGCAATAACCCCCAAACACTTGCAAACAATCTTGGTTTAATAAAATTAAGCTGTCATATATTAAACTTTGTTTAATAATGTACAAAGAAGGAAGAAAAAGTTCAGCCATCGCGTGACTGCCCTTATGATATCTGAGTAGATAAGAAACAGAAAGCATCCATGTTACAATCCACAACAGCAAAAACTCACCATTTCGGCATCATCCTGAAATCCAAACACAGAAACGGGAAAAATGTTTTTATATGCAAAATAATCCCTGAGTGGAAAAGAATGACTTTGGAAAAATCATGCAATTCTAGGGAGTTCCAGGCAGAGAGGCTTAGGGGGGGGGGGGGGGGGGGGAATTAATCTGAGCATTGTAAGCAGACCAATTAATCAGAAATCCAAAAGAATGAATGTTATTTTGCTAAAATGTCCCATGTTAAATGCAGATGTTGAAGAATATTTTTCCCCTCCATAGAAATTCTGGGCATCTAGACATGCGATGAGGCCATCACAACTCAATACTTAAATAATTTGCATCAGTCATGAATCACATCATCACAGCTATAATTCTGATGTTATACTGCAGCTTCCAACATGGCCCACACAATCTTTTTGATCAAAAGATGCTAGAAATCTCACAGCCTGGGTTTCAAACTTCTATTTGCAAAATGAGCAGCTGCAGTAATTTGGGGCGACCCTCTTAACTCACTCTGGCCCCATCTCTGGGGATTCGGACTGTCCCAACTCAGGAGCAAAGGTCACCTACCCAAATATCCCTCCTTTTCCAAGTGTCAGAGTTGGAAGTTCATGGAGTTATGCTCCACCAGACTTCAGATTCAGGCCAATGTTTTTTTCTTTTAATTCGCATCCCAGAAAGCAAATTATTCATTCACAATATGTATGGCTAACCTGCAGGAAATCGGCCTGAAAATCCGCATGATGGGAAGGGAGGGAGGGAGGGAAGAAGGAGGGTAGAGGAAGGAAAGTGAGGAGAGGAGGGAGGGAAGAGAGGAAGAGAGGGAAGAGAGGAAAGGAGAGGAGGGGAGAGGAAGAAAGGGAGGAGGGGAGGGAGGGAAGAAAGGAAGGGAGGAGAGAGGAAGAGAGGGAAGAGAGGAAAGGAGAGGAGGGAAGAGAGGGAAGGAGAGGGAAGAGAGGGAAGAGAGGAAAGGAGAGGAGGGGAGAGGAAGGAAAGAGAGGGGGAGGGAGGGAAGAGAGGAAAGGAGAGGAGAGGAAGGAAGGAAAGAGAGTGGGGGGAGAGAAGAGAGGAAAGAGAGAGGGGAGGGGAAGGAAAGAGAGAGGAAGGGAGGGAACGATCGTTCACAAGTCTTCTTTTGCACAAATCCCATTCTCTCTTTTAACTTTGAAATGCAATGACAAAAAAGAACTTATAGATTTAAGTAGATTGTTGCAAAATAGAAAGCTGCTTGAAAGAAGTCGTTATTTGCAATTTGATCGATCCGAAGACACGCGTCCAGACATGATGTTGACTTGCTAAATTGGCAAAAACAGGAAACCCCCCTCGTGCTTGAAACCTCGGAAAATACTTTCTGCCACTGTGTGGCATGGCTGGGTAACCAAGGCCCCCTTTTACCACCTGCGGACTTCAACTCCCAGAACTCCTGAGCCAGCCATGCTCTCTTTCCAACTCCCAGTTTTTCCGCAGGTGGTAAATAAAAGGGGGCTTTGGCTGCCCACCTCCGCTGTGTAGTATTAATAGGCTCAACTGTTAACCTTCTGTGGAAAATCTATTTACACCTTATCTTTTACACGTGTTTGTCAGGAATTAAGAACAGCTCTTCTTCATTTTTGGCATTAACTTCCCCCCCCCCGTGTCGTTTTTTTTTCCCTAACTATGCTGGTTGCACAAGATTGCACACTTGCACGTAGGCGAGATCCAATCCAACTGGGATCAAGTGGGTCCTGGCAGAAGGACTCTGCCTCTCTTGCACTTGGCCCGCAAAGCAGCTGAGGTACAAAACTTCGCACCGCTCTCTCGAGCCGTGGCTTCGGTGGTCTATTGTTACTTGAAGCTCTGAGCTAGCATCTCATTGCGCGTCCGGCCACGTCCGTCTTTAAGCTTCAAAAGTCTTATGTTCGCCCTCTTTGATCCAACCAACCGTCGGCCGCGTTGGGACATTCAAGCTCGTGCCCGGAGAAGAGAAAAGAGGAAGTTTTATGTGCCCGGTTAGTTTGCCACAGCTGGAGGCCCCTCTGGCAGGAGGGAGGCGAAGAAAGCCTTGAAGAAAAGCCAAGCTGTGCTCACGAAGGAAACTGCTGGAGCTGGCGGGTTCTCGCCGCCGGCGGCCTCCGAATTCTCCGTTTCATTTTGTTCTCTTGGGTTTTCCTCCTGCTGAGATAAGGGGAGAAAAAACAAAATGTAAGTTTATTTATTTATTTATTATATTTCTATACCGCCTTTCTCCCGTAGGACTCAAGGCGGTGTACAGCCAAGAAAAATATAGACACACAAACATCATAAAATTGCTAATTAAAATTATTATTATAACATAGTTTGGACAAATTAAATAGAACCTAAAATTAGATAACATTTAAAAAATCATTCACATGTTCGTATGTTTAGCCCTGCCTGTTGGAACATCAGGGTCTTGAGGGCACGGCGGAAAGCACGGAGATCAGGGATATTCCGTATCTCCGGGGACAGTTCATTCCAAAGGGTTGGAGCCCCCACAGAGAAGGCCCTCCCCCTGGGAGTCGCCAGTCGGCATAATTTAACTGACGGTACCCTGAGTAGTCCCTCCCTGTGAGAACGAACTGGTCGGTCGGAGGCTATTGGTGGCAAAAGACGGTCTCGTAGGTACCCAGGTCCTAAGCCAGGGAGATCCATGGAGATAAATTACATGGAGATCCTTCCTCCTAGTGATCTCCAACTATTGGTATGGTTTAACTAGGCCAGGTGTCAGCAACCTGCGGCTCCGGAGCCGCCTGCAGCTCTTTGGACCCTCTGCTGTGGCTCCCTGTCAGGTGATCCCACCACTGGCTGGCCCCACCCCTCGCCCTCCCCTCCCAGTCACCCCTCGCCTGGCCTGAGAGGATAAGGGTGAGGGTGGAGTATGGAGAAGTGGCCAGGGCAGAGACATAGAGACACAGAGAGAGAGGGAGAGAGAGACATAAGAGAGACACATAGAGAGAGGGAGAGAGAGACATAGAGAGATACAGAGAGAGAGGGAGAGAGAGACATAGAGAGATACAGAGAGAGAGGGAGAGAGAGACATAGAGATACAGAAGACATAGAGAGATACAGAGAGAGAGGGAGAGAGAGACATAGAGATACAGAGAAAGACATAGAGAGACACAGAGGGAGAGAGGGAGAGAGAGACATAGAGAGATACAGAGAGAGAGGGAGAGAGAGACATAGAGAGACACAGAGAGAGGAGAGAGGGAGAGAGAGACATAAGAGAGAGATACAGAGAGAGGGAGAGAGAGAAGAGACATAAGAGAGATACAGAGAGAGAGAGGGAGAGAGAGAGAGAGAGATAAGAGAGATACAGAGAGAGAGAGGGAGGATGAGAGAGAGAGAGACATAGAGAGGAGATAGAGAGAAAGACATAGAGAGATACAGAGAGGGGGAGGGAGAGAGACACATAGAGATATAGAGAGAGAGGGAGAGAGAGACCAGAGAGATACAGAGAGACATAGAGATACAGAGAGAGAGGGAGAGAGAGACATAGAGAGATACAGAGAGAGAGGGAGAGAGAGACATAGAGATACAGAGGAGACATAGAGAGATACAGAGAGGAGAGAGAGGAGAGAGAGACATAGAGAGATACAGAGAGAGAGGAGAGAGAGACATAGAGATACAGAGAGAGACATAGAGAGACACAGAGAGAGAGAGAGAGGAGAGAGAGACATACAGAGAGATACAGAGGAGAGAGAGGGAAGAGAGAGACATAGAGAGATACAGAGAGAGAGGGAGAGAGAGACATAGAGAGATACAGAGAGAGGAGAGAGAGACATAAGAGAGATACAGAGAGAGAGGGAGAGAGAGACATAGAGAGATACAGAGAGAGAGGGAGAGAGAGACATAAGAGAGATACAGAGGAGAGAAGACATAGAGAGATACAGAGAGAGGGAGGAGAGAGACACATAGAGATACAGAGAGAGAGGGAGAGAGAGACAGAGAGATACAGAGAGAGACATAGAGATACAGAGAGAGAGGAGAGAGAGACATAGAGAGATACAGAGAGAGAGGGAGGAGAGAGAGAGACAGAGAGATACAGAGAGACACATAGAGAGATACAGAGAGAGAGGGAGAGAGAGACATAGAGAGATACAGAGAGAGAGGAGAGAGAGAGACATAGAGATACAGAGAGACACAATAGAGAGATACAGAGAGAGAGGGAGAGAGAGACATAGAGAGATACAGAGAGACACATAGAGAGATACAGAGAGAGAGGGAGAGAGAGACATAGAGAGATACAGAGAGAGAGGGAGAGACATAAGAGAGATACAGAGAGAGAGGAAGAGAGAGACATAAGAGAGACACATAGAGAGAGGAGAGAGAGACATAGAGAGATACAGAGAGAGACATAGAGAGATACAGAGAGAGGGAGAGAAGGGAGGAGGGGGGGAGAGAGAGAGATCAAAAGGATTTTATGGTTCCCGGTGTTTTTTAACAACTGGTTCTCTGCCTAATGACTGGCTGGGTAGGCGTCGTGGCTAGGGTGGATCATGTGACTGGTGGGAGTGAGTGACATCGAGTTAGCCAGGCCCACCCAGGTTTTGTGGCTCCTGGTATTTTCTTTTCTGTGGGAAACGGGTCCAAGGTTGTTTAAGGTTGCAGACCCCTGAACTAGGCTGAAGTTGAACATTTTTTCTTCCTTTTTTTTTTTTAAAAAAAAATTGAACATTTTAGATTTAGGCAAAATCCCCTGCAAGCACCCTATTATACTTTACATCATCGTAAATTTCCTGAATGTAGGTTGTGCCCGCAATTATGGCGGTACGTCAAGACGGTCGTAAAATAAGTCACCCCAGGACCATATCTAATTATATTACCTTTTTGGAAGGTGGTTGTTAAGCAAACACTGTGGTCATTAAGCGAATCCCACGGTTGTTAAGCAAATCCCTTGTTTGCTATGGGGCAGTTTTTGCAGGAAATTGGAAGTAAAATCCAGTTTCCACCAGAAGCATAAATCGTGGTCAAATGACCTGGCGGGGGGGGGGAGGGGGGGCCACGGACAGCAGAACATTTGACACTGGTCAGAAGTTCCTTTTTCGGGGTCTATTGTGATTTCAAAGAGTTGTCGGTTTTTGTTTTTTGTTTTATTTATATGCCGCCCTTCTCCGGAGACTCAGGGCGGCTTACAATGCGTTAAGCAATAGCCGTCATTCTTTTGTATATACCTGCTTAGTAGGGCTTTCGCCCCCACCCCCCCCAAGTGATGTTCTATTTTATACAAAGTCAGCTTATTGCCCCCACAATCCGGGTCCTCATTTTACCTACCTCGGAAGGATGGAAGGCTGAGTCAACCTTGAGCCTGGTGAGATTTGAACTCGCAGTAATTGCAGGCAGCTGGAAGCTAAATACTACCTTTCAACAGTAGCATTAGTCTGCTGCGCCACTCAGGCTCCTTGTAAGGTTGTAAGTCGAGGACTGCTTGTACCTAGCTAGGTCTTGTTCAAAGGGATTCCAAATCTCTCTTCAGATGTGGGAAAACCCCATGCAGGTAGTCCTCGACTTACGGCCACAATTGGGCCCCAAATTTTTGCCACTAAGCAAGAGCGTTAAGTGAGTTTTGCCCCAGTTTTACGACCTTTCTTGCCATGCTCACAATAACATGGGGAAGTGAATTGACTTTGCTTGTCAGAAAGTTGCAAAGAGTGATCATACGACCTCGGGACTGTCGTAAATATGAACCAGTTACCATCCGATTTTTGATCAGGTGACCACGGGGAGGCCTGTGTGAAAAATAGCCATGTAATGTCCCTTTTATCAGTGCCAATATAGCTTCAAATGGTCACTAAATGGTTATAAGCTAAGGACTACCTGTAATCTTATCTTTTAAGGATACTTTGGCCCCAAATATCCTGAGTATTAATGAAATTATTCTCGTACTGGAGCAGGGGTGAAATGCTCCAGGTTCGGACCGGATCGCCTGATCCGGTAGTGATGATGGCGGGTGGTTCGGAGAACCGGTAGCAAAAATCCCTCCCCTCCCAATGCCCAGCTGATCCGCACAATCATCAGAGGCTTTTTTTCTTTTTAACTTTTAAAAGCATTTTTTCTACCACCTCTTCAGCCGAAAAAATGTTTTTAAAAGTAAAAAAAAAAAAAAGCCTCTGATGATTGCGCGGCTGAAGAGGTGGTAGAAAAAAAAATGCTTTTAAAAGCCTCTGATGATCCTAGTGTCAATTTGCAAAGCTTTCAAGTTGCCATGAGCAGGAGGGAGGGAGAACTGATAGAGCCGATTGATTTCCCTAACTGAAGTGCATTCCATATATTCTTCCTGACCGCAATCAGAAGGAGGGTGTTGGATTTCACAGCCAGCCAAAGTGGTTAATTGGAGAATGTGATTTATGACATGGCCAGAGAGGAGGGGAGAGACAGTCATAGGGGAACGTAAATCTACATGGGATCAGTCCTGACTGCATCCGAGTATTGCCGGAATGTTGCTCCTAATAAATCACTATATTTCCTTTGAAGTTTAGATCATGGCTCATGAATTAATTAGGGCATCTTTTGGAAACTTGACACCCAGCTCAGTTGCCTGATCAGCAGAGGCTTTTAAAATCATTTTTTTCTGCAACCTCTTTGGCTGAAGAGGTTCTAGGGGGAAAAAAAGCCTTTAAAAGCCTCTGGTGATCCCAGCTGAGTTGCCTGATCGGCAGAGGCTTTTAAAAGCATTTTTTTTTTTTGCAACCTCTTAAGGTTGGAGAAAAAATACTTTTAAAGGTAAGAAAGAAAAAAAGATGGCCACGTCCACCCAGTCACATAACCACCACCCCCCCAAGCCACGTCCACAGAACCGGTAGTAACAAATTTTACATTTCACCTCTGTACTGGAGTATTACATTGGCAGAATCCAGAGGGTGAGCAAGATTAATTTTTTCTGGCACCGTTTTCTTTAACACACAAGGCTACAAGAACTCGGTGCCACAGGCTGAACTCCACCTGGGTGGTTTAAATAAGGAACTTTCCCTATGACCTAGATGCTACCCAACCAGTTTTCAATTAGTTGCTAAGGTGCTGGGGCTCAGTAAAACCAGGAAACTGAGTTCTAGTTCTTGTTTTAGGGCATGAGAGCTGGCTGGGTGACCTTGGGCCAGTCAAGCCACCTTCACAGGGTTGTTATGAGGAAAGGAGGAGAAGGAAGGAGTGTTAAGATACATTTGCTGCCTCAAGTTACTTATAAAGTCAGAAAAGTGGGATTAAAAATGTCTATGGAGATTCTCAGTCCTCCAGGTCAAGTTTGTCCCAGAGATGCTTTTTCAAGAGGCAAACTGGACTTTCTGGTTTTTCTTTGAAGATGTTTCGCTTCTCATCCAAGAAGCTTCTTCAGCTCTGACAGGTCATTCTTCAAATGACCAGCTTGTCCGCAAGGAATATAAACCCTTCCATCCCCCACTATCCTGTCAGAGCTGAAGAAGCTTCTTGGATGAGAAGTGAAACGCCTTCAAAGAAAAACAAGGAAGTCCAGTTGCCCTTTTGAAAAAAAAAACACCTTTGGATCAACCATTCTCTACGTTCCATCTCTCCAACCCATTCAACCTTCCTTCATTGTCCAAACTTTCTCCATTTTTACGGACCTTCTTTAGGTCCCAGTCAGTGTCCTCCTTAAACTAAAATCTGAAGACTACAGTTGCCTCTTGAAAAAGCGTCTGTAAAATATGCTAAATAAAATGTGTAAAATACTTCCAGTAGAGTTACAGCACTATCACTAGCCAATTATGGGGCAGCTGCCTCTTGTTCGGGTTTATCGTACAGGTGACACAAGGATATCAAGTGGCAGTTGATACAGGGCAGATACCTGCCAAATTCCATAATCCGGGAACTGAACATTCGAGACAATAAGGTTAACAGTTCAGTTCTGTTCCTCTTTGGCTGTGCCACACTTCCTGTTTCAAGGATGGTCGGGGATTTATTTATCAAATTTATTTCCGGCCCATCTTGTGATTCAATGCATCCCTGAGTGACTTAACTTCAAATGTCCTCTAACCTGAAATGTATTAAATTAGACAAAGCAGGTCTGTCTGGAGGCCAAATCACCTTGGAAACAGCCCCAAGCGATTTCCAGTTCTGATGCTGCACTTCCAGGCATGGTTAATCCTCAACTAAAGACCACAGTTGACCCCAAAAAAGTTGAGTTTTGCCCCATTTTATAACCTTCCTTGCCGCCGCTGTTAAGGGAGTCACTTCAGCTAGCAACACGGTTGTTAAATGAATCTGGCCTCCTCACTGACTTTGCTTGTCAGAAGCTCGCAAAAGGGAATCGATCGTGTGAGTCAGTGCAACCGCCATAAATACGAAACACTTGCCAAACATCCAAATTGTGATCATGTGAATGCTGGAACGGTTTTTTAAGTGTGAAAAACGGTTGTAAGTCACTTTTTTTCCAACGCAGCTGTAACTTCAACTGGTCACTAAAGGAATGGTTGTAAACTGAAGATCACCTGAAATGCTCTGCAAGAGCCTAATTGTAGTCCATAGGGAGTTTGAACCCTTAAACACAGTTGGCATGGAAAGAAGACCCTACTGAACCAGCACATAAGTCAGTGATGGCTAACCTTTTTGCCGTCGCATGCCACAAGTGGGGGGAGCACGCATGCGTCCACACCCATAATTCAATCCCCCCCCGCGTGCGCAATACCCTGCTTTTGGCACACGATGGCATGGTGGGCCCTGAAGGCCTGTTTTTTGCTCTCCTCAGGCTCCAGAGGCTTCCTTGGAGCCTGGGGAGGGCAGAAACAGCCTTCCCCACCCCCCTCGGAGGCCCTTCGGAAGGGCCGAAAATCAGTTGGCCGGCGCACGCATGTGCGCTGGAGCTGAGCTAGGGCAATGCTCGCGTGCTCACAGATATGGCTCTGTGTGCCACCTGTGGCACGCATGCCATAGATTCGCCATCACGACCCTAGGTTCATTCTGGAAGCCAAACCTTCATGATGCTCTCTGGTACAAAACTCACTTGTAAATTGTTATTCTGATCTTGATTAACCGCAGCCTGGGCAGGAACGTCGTTCGGGGGTGCTGGTGGTGGCGCCTGGGCTGGCCTTCGCCTGAAAGGGAACCAGCCAATCTGGTGCCTAAGGAGAGAAGACATTGGTTAGAAAGGCGCAAAAAAAAACAAAAAAAACAAAACCTCGAGTGGCAGCCATCTTCTATTTTTTATTTGGGCAGCTATCTATTCCCTCAGCAGTGAGTGAGAAGTGCCAGCCACTGCCCTTTTCGGCATGCTTCCCGACTTCCAGCCTAGTCAAGTATCTCTATTTGCTGGTAAATTTCTTTCCAAATACAGGTAAGTCCTTGACCACTATCCAACCCAAAATTGTCTTGAGCCAAGCGAGACAGTTATTGAGTTTTGCCCCCTTTTATAACCATTCCTGCCACAGCTGTTAAGTGAATCACTGCAGCTGTCTAGCTATTGACACAGCTGTTAAGTGAATCTGGTCTTCCGCATTGATTTTGCTTTATCAGTGGGTCGCAAAAGGGGATCACATGACCCCGGGATGATGCAACCGTCTGTCAGCCTCCGCCTTTTTATTGCTTGCTTGCTACGGCTGCCATTGTAACGGGGGGAGGGGGGGGCTGTCTGGATATTTGGAAGGGGGGAAGTGAGCTGGTGGGGTAAAAATTGGAGAAAGTTTTCATCAGCGTTTCTCTGCAGCTGGGAGGCGCGCTGATAACCAGTCAAGGTCAACTGTCGTGACATACCAGGAGGATGGAGCCATCAGAAGCTGCACCCCACAGGACCCCTTGGGGGGATGTCAATTGGATAATCCTGACTGGACCGTTGGGGGGGGTGTTTAATGATGCTTTCTATTTGTGATTTTCGCGCCTATTGCCTCAGACCTTGTTTTTCTTTGGTTGCATTCAGTTCATGCTCAGTAAAAGTACCTTTCTCTATGAAAATGGAGCCGGGGTTTTTCTTTCTTGAGTACTGAAAGGAGGCATACCTGATACCGTCATAAATCTGGCTTAGAACCAGAACTTCTGTTGCCAAGCGAAACGTTTGCGAAGTAAATTTTGCCCAATTTTACCTCGCTTGCCACGTTTGTTAAGCGAATCAATGCAAGTTGTTAAGTTAACCACATGGTTGTTAAGTGAATCTGGCTTCCCCCATTGACTTTGATTGGCAGAAGGTCGCAAAAGGGGATCACGTGACCCCGGGACACTGAGTCATAAATATCAGTCAGTTGACAAGTGTCTGAATTTTGATCACGTGACCCCCCCCCCCGGGGATGCTTGCAATGGTTGTAAATGTGAAAAATGGTTATAGGTCACTTTTTCAGGGCCGTTGCAACTTTGAATGGTCACTAAATGAACTGTTGTAAGTCAAGGACTGACTGTACACGCCAATTGTCTGAATTCTGACCACGTGCCCAAGGGGAATACTGCAGTGGTGGTTAAGTGTGAAAAAAGGTCATGTCGCTTTTTTTAAGTGCCACTGTTAACTTTAAACAGCCACTAAATGAATGACTTGTAAGTCAAGGACTACCTAAATGAGATTCAGGTAAAGCTTCCCCTCGCACATATGTGCTAGTCGTTCCTGACTCTAGGGGGCAGTGCTCATCTCCGTTTCAAAGCCGAAGAGCCAGCGCTGTCCGAAGACGTCTCCGTGGTCATGTGGCCGGCATGACTCAACGCCAAAGGCGCACGGAACGTTGTTCCCTTCCCACCAAAGGTTCCCTATTTTTCTACTTGCATTTTTTACCTGCTTTCGAACTGCTAGGTTGGCAGAAGCTGGGACAAGGAATGGGAGCTCACCCTGTTACACGGCGCTGGGGATTTGAACCGCTGAACTGCCGACCTTTTGATCGACAAGCTCAGCGTTTTAGCCACTGAGCCACCGCGTCCCTTATAAAATGAGATTCAAGCCATGTGCAGAAACCAGCCCCTTGCCCCCCACCCCCGGCTTTCCTGCCCAGCCGCCCAAGCAGACTCACAGGTAGATGAGGAGGGTGCCAGCCATCACCAAGAGGAACCTGCTCATACTGGAGTAAAAGTAAACAATGTTGACGAAGACGTAGAAGAGGGTTGCCGAGTAGAGCCAGTCCAGCCAATCGCGGTTCACTTCGTCGTCTTCCTCCATGAGGGGTCCACCCTGGGCATTCATGCGCAGGTTGGGGTTCACTCCGGGGTTGGCTTGAGGGGGAGCGTTTTGATCTACGGGGGGGTTTTCGGCAGGAAACGGACCGGGGAGAGGAGCCGGTGGGTTCACCGGAGCCACCGAGATCTCCTGGGAACTTCGGGCAGAGGTCAAGTCACTCGAATGAGCGTTGGCAGCCATGCTGAGAGAGAGAGAGAGAGAGAAAGAGAGAGAGAGAGAGAGAGAGAGAAAGGGACATTAGAAATACTCCTCTTGTGCTGAAAGAAAAAACATGACTACGAAATACTGATAACATTAGGGCAGCAGCTGGTGAAATCCAAATGCATTTTAAAATCAGGGGTCTCCAACCTTGGCAACTTTAAGGCTTGTAGATTTCAAGTCCCTGTTTGCTGGATGAGGAATTCTGGGAATTGAAGGTGCCTGGTTTAGCTCAGCAGACTAAAAGCATAGTGATTAACACTAGCTGTCTGCAATTACTGGAAGTTTGAATCTCACCAGGCTCAAGGTTGACTCAGCCTTCCATCCTTTCTAAGGTAGGTTAAATGAGGACCCAGTTTGTGGGGGCAATAAGCTGACTTTGTATAAATATACAAAAGTGTGAAGGCTATTGCTTAACGCACTGTAAGTCTCCGGAGCAGGGCGGCATATAAATCAAATTAAAAAAAAAAAAGTCCACAAGTTTTAAAGTTGCCAAGGTTGGAGACCCCTGTTCTAAATTGTAACATTTATTTATTTATTTATTTTATTAGTCATATTTCTATGCCGCCCACTCTCCGAGGACTCTGGGTGGCTTACAACAATCGACAGTATACTAAATAGCATATTGCCCTCAACAATCTGGGTCCTCATTTTACCCACCTCGGAAGGATGGAAGGCTGAGTCAACCTTGAGCCAGTGAGATTTGATCCACTGATCTGCTGAACTAGCAGTCAGCTGAAGTAGCTGCAGTACTGCACTCTAACCACTGCGCCACCTCGGCTCTTTGGGGGGGGGGTGCTGGCTGAAGAATTCTGGGAGTTGAAGTCTGCAAATCTTAAAAAAGCTTTGATTTTGGGTTTTACCTATTAGAGAGATTTGTTATTATAGAAATGGCTAATTTATACTATGTAAGTATAAATTTAAGTAAAGTTGAAGTTTAATGCCTTATTCTACTGCACCAAAGGGAGTAGGAAATCAATGTCTTCTTTTTCTTTCTCAGTTTTTCTTTCCCTCACTTTTCCCTTCCCTATTTACTTTTGCATATCCTTTGCATGCTGCATTATAAACCAATAAAAACTGTTTTTTTAAAAAAAAAATTGACATGGTAGACAATTATAATGAAATATGGGGGGATCTTATAAAAACAGTGCTGGTGGAAGGCAAAGGGAATAAAAATACTACTATAAGGGCACAATAGGAATATATTGTATATCTTTTCATGGTTATAGAAGAAATATAAGGGGGGAAAATGGTCTCGGGGGGTGCACTGTAATATTTGTAATTTTTTTTCCTTTTTTTGTATTTAGATTTATATGTATTATGTTTGTATTATTTGTATTCAAAATAAAAAATTAAAATTGAAAAAATTGACATGGTAGAGAAACACTGGCCTACTGAGCTCCCTATGAAAACTGCAAAAATTCTTCCATTACTGCAATTGTGGCTAAAAGATTTGTTGGGTCCAAATGACTTGCACAAAAGAAGATTTTTTTTGCCACCCGGGGCAATTTACAAAGTCTGAACTTTTTTTAAAATTACTTTTCTATAGGTTGTCTCTACCCACCTGTCATTTTTTCTATTAACCTTTGGTGGATTGTTGTAAAGCCAGTGCAGACATTCTCAAAACACCGACCTTGTTCATCTGTACTGACAGCTTCGTATTAGTGGAAGGTTATTTTGAAAAACGTGCCGTGAATTTCACATGCTACGAAAGGCTTAGTATGTGACTTCGGACATAAAAGAGAGATTACAGGTGAAACTTACTATTGCATGTAGTATTGCCTTGTGTAGAGCTGATGGAACCAGAGCTGCAGCATATGATACGTGGTGTAGGAGGAGTAACTGGAGCTCATGGCTTGAAAAGGATGCGGAGTCACCGGAGATCTGGTGGAGAAGATACAGACAGAAGGTCGTTGTTACAACTATAATTGAATAGACCTAAGCTTACGACTGTTTTTGTGGTGGTCATTAAGTGAACCCATCATTTGCTATGGGTTGTTTCTTGCCAGAAATCTGAAGTACAGGTAGTCCTCGACTTACAACAGTTCATTTAGTGACTGAAAAAGTGACTTATGACTGTTTTCCACAGTTACGATCGTTGCAGCATTCCCATTGTCATGGGATCAAAATTCAGCTGTTTGGCAACTGGCTCATATTTATGACGGTTGCAGCGTCCCAGGGTCATTGAACACATGGCAACGAACCTGTATTTATGACCTGAGATCACATGATGCAATCTTTTGACAAGCAAAGTCCATGGGGGAGCCAGATTCACTTAACAACTGTGGCTAGAAAGATTATAAAATGGGGCAGAACTCACCGAACAAATGTCTCAACTTAGCAACAAAGATTTGGGGCTCAAATCGTGGTCCCAAGTCAAGGACTACCTGTAAATGCTGGTTTCCTGCCAAACCGTCGTAAATCATGGTCAGGTAACCTGGCCTGCTGCAAAACTCTTGTAAATTCAAGCCAAGCACCCCAATGTGATCGTGTGATTGCACCAAGGGGGATGCCACTATGCCAGAACATCAAAACAGGATCATAAGTCATATTTTAGGGAGGGAAGTGTCTGTTGCAGTTGCTAAACGGCTAGTCATAAGTCCAGGACCACCTATATTTTCCTCCCTCCTTTAAAGACCTTTAACAAGGGTTTTTGTAAAGTAATGCCGTAAGCTCTCAACAAATAATTTCTGTTTATGTACCACCCTCACCCACAAAAATTTAACATTACAGTCAGCTTGTTCCATTAGTTCATGGAAGAAAAGTGCTTAACTACTAGCCAATTTCATGAACAGGAATGTAGCTTCACACCCAGCCTTTATTTCGGTCTTGGCTTTGGCCTCAGGAAGAGGGTGGAAGGAAAATTTGTCCTGGTTTTCTTCTTCCTATAAACATCAACCAATGAAAAAGAGGCCTAGGAGTCACCCTCTTCCAATGATAAAAAGGAAAGACACGTAGACAGCCCTCTGATCAGAAAACTCTTAATGGATTCTCTGGTGCTGGGGTGATAATTCATAATTTGGCACAAGAGTTTAAGTCTAAAGAGAGCACAAATCTTTGGCAACCATGGATTTCAATTCCCAGAATTTCCCAACCAAGGCTGTCTGGGGAATTCTGGAAACTGAAATCCGAAAAATCTTAAAAAATTGCCAAGGTTGGACAACCCTGGTGTAATAGTTCAGGCACCAGGCTAGAAAGCAGGAGACCATGAGTTCAAGTCCCACCTTAGCTATGAAAACCAGCTGGGTGATTTTGGGCCAATCTCTCTCTCACCTCAACTCATTTCAGAGTTTTGTGGTTGTGGGGAAACTAGGAGAAGGAAGGTGTACTGGACACGTTAGCTGCCTTATTTGTAAAAATAATAAAGGCGGGATACAAATCAAACTAAGGGAGTCCCATCTACTCTGTGTCTTACGTGGCAACACCTAGTTGAATTTAACAGATTGTGGAAAACGAAACACAGCTGAGGCATTGATGGGATATATACAGAGATGAAATCCCAGAGCTTGGAGAGGCAAACACACATCCCAGGAGTAACCAAGCAGCTCCTGTACCAAAGCCAGGAAATCTACGTGGCTCTGCCTATAAAGTTACTGAGCCTGGAATTCAAATCACAGACGACTGCAAGTTGAGTCATGGCAACTGGACCCGTTTCAAACCAAGAAAGAAAAGAAGCATCCAGTTGCTATGACTCAAATTTCCAGACAACTCTACCTGGATGATGGAGAAACTTCATCGTCAAATCACGGATGTTTCTGTTCTTCGCCCCACAAAATAAGAACTTGGGATGCACAAACATACCTCGCGTCAGCTTCCTCTGTGGTCACAGGCGGGTCTGGGGCAGCCTGTCCTTGGCTGGGAGCAGACCTTGGAGGAAGGTCCGAAGGATTTTGGCTCAATGCTGTGGACTGCTCCTTGGCTTCAGCCTCCTAAACCACCAAAAATTTACCGCTGCATTTTAAAACAGGCTTCAAAAGGTCTGTTCCAGGTGTTCAGCTCCATTTCAGACTCTCATAAGTAGCCCTCTAAAGCAGGCATGTCAAACTCAAGGCCTGGGGCCCGGATCCAGCCAGTGGGGGGCTTAAATCTGGCCCACGGCCCGCCCTTGAAAATAATGAAGGACCGGCCCATGGTTCCTCTGCCCTCCCGAGCTCTGTTTTTGTTGGCAGAGGGTTGCAGGAGCTGTCCCAGCCAAAAACGGGAGCTTGGGCCACAGGCGCCGACATGAGTGACATCGAGCTGGCCACGCCCATCCTAGCCCCCCCAAGGTCAAACACAACCCTGATGCGGCCCTCAAGGAAATCCAGTTTGACACCCTTTTGCTCTAAAGCAAAAGATTCTATTTTTTTAAAAAAGGTTTTTATTTATAAATACAAACCAAACAAAACAGTAAAACACACAAAACATATAAACATAAATTTACATACATGTCCAATTTATCGCAACTGTATTATATAATTTCATTTACAATTTTGACTCCACCTTGCTTGGTCTATCTTTTTTGTCTATCTTTACAATTCTTGATTGACCTATATATGTGGTTTACATTCCTCTTTCTATATTTGGTCGTTTCCTTTATTTCCTAATCTTTTATCCCTTTCCTTTTTTCCAACCAGACATACTACTTTTATCTATTTTATTTAGAATTTGTTTAGAAAATTTATATTGCCGCCTAAGTCGCACATGGCGACCCAAGACAGATTATAAGGATATAAAAACACCATATAAAAAATAATCCCTGACACCGCAGCGACAATACACAAACTAGCCATTTAATGGGCTCCAGCCCACTCTGGGGTCCCCATCTTGTTGGGAAATCAAAGGTAATGAGGAAAGGGTAACTCAGTTGTTAAAAAAGCCACCCCTTTCTCTTGAGACCATGAAGTTTGGTCTTCCCTAATGTCTCTATTCAACCTATAGAATCATGGCTGAGCTCACCCGTTCTGTTAAGCCAAACACATGGAATGTAACATGGAAATTGGATCGCTGTGATCAACAAAGCAAAACTGGAACTATGCCTGGGCTTCCTGTGAGCTCAGTCCCTGTGTCAGTTGGCTACTTTCTGACATCCTAGAACATTTATTTCTTAAGCATGGCAACTTTTAAGGTGCGTGGACCTTAGGAAGGCATGCCTGGCTGGGGAATTCTAGGAGTTGAGGCCCACACATCTTACAGTTGCCAAGCTTAAGAAACTTGTCTTAGAATGACTGTTCGGATCCAGCCTTTGCAGAAGCAAGAAACAGACTCCTTGTCCCGGAAAACCCCTCTTTATTTATCTCCTGTGAATTAATGGCATTCACACACCAAAAAGTCCAGGCAATAGTCCTTCCAGGAGCTCCCAGCCGAAAGGCTGCAAATTAAGTTCTGGCAAGCAGTCTTTGTAGCACAAAACACAATGAGCAAAATCTTCAGAAGTACGAATGGTTGTCTCCTACGACCACCACTCCCCTTTCCTTCTATTTATTCCCCAGCCAGGGAGGAGCCATTCAGCGTCCACGGGTGCTTTGCTTCCCGAGTCGACTCCTTGTCCTCCGTTGTTCACCTCTCCTAACTGCTCTGCGCACACATGCATCTGGAAGAGGCCCCAGCTGTTCTTCCTCCTCACTCATCTCAGCCTCCAAAGGCAGCTTGCCTCTCCGTTGGCTGGGAAATGTCAGATGGCTCTGGCTCTGACACTGAGCATCCATCAGAGTCTTCCCCAGACTCCAGAACTGGCCCAAGTTCCTCCCCAACCTCCTCATCCTCAGAGTCTGAAGCCAACTCCACTGGCAGGCCACAACAATGACCTTCTACAGACCCAAATCCCTGCTTTCAGCACTGCTGGTCAAGGAAACCTAACCATCCCTTCAAGGCGGTTCACCTGGAAGATCTTACATCCAGTCATTATCTGTACCTATTGGGAACCTGTCCCCGCCCCCACCCAAAAATCCCCATAAAGGGCTGGTACAATATAAAAATCTTGCCCAGATCACAGAATATCTGATCCCCAAAGTCAGTGATTAAAGCTAACACCTCAAACGGCCGCTTTTCAATACCTTCATGTCAGCTCCTGGCATCGTGGGCAGATTCTTGGAGTTGCACACCAAATGAAGAGCGTGAAGCGTCTCCTGCTGAAACAGAAAGCATTAATTAACGTTTCAAAAGCCATCTGGGGGAGCACATTTCCTTGATGCTCCATGGATTGCTGAAAGGAAAAGGCTGGCAGGGCATACGCCACGTACCTTGGTGAGGACCTCTTGCAGGAAAAGATGGTCGGGCAACAGCTTTCCAGAGTAGATCAACCTCTGAGCCTCTTCAGGCTTTGAAGGGAGGGGAGGGGGGGAAAAAAACAGTTTTAAAAATCTTTTTCCAGAACAAGATTCCTCATTCTTGTAAATGTGCAAGTATGCGGTGTTTTTTTTTTTTGTAAATTGTAAGCAGCTGATTCTTTGAAAAACCAGCTGAGCAATGACCTTTAGGTCACTTCTCAAGAGGAAAATATTTCCCCTTTGAGAGTGAGATTACTGCTGGGTTCCAGTTGTTTCCTGTGGCTGACCTGCACAGACAGATTTTGTCTTTCGTCAATAGGCTTAAGAGCAGCTAAATCAAACACCAATTGCACAAAAGAGTTTACAGAAGGAGAAGGCTGCACGCAATGAAACCACAGTAAAATCACTTACAACAATTCATTTAGTGACTGTTCAAAGTTACAACAGCGGAGAAAAAAGTGGCTTTTAATGACCATTTTCCACACTGTTGCAGCATCCCTATTGTCATGGGATCAAAATTTCAGATGCTCAGTAACTGATGGGGAAGCCAGATTCACTTAACAACCATCTTACTAACTGTGGCACAAAGGGACGTAAAATAGGCAAAATTCACTTTTAACTGCTTCACTTAGCAACAGAAATTTTAGACTCAATTGTGGTAAGCCAAGGACTACCTGTATATATTTTTAGATGTCTTTTTGTATCCTTTCCTTTATTTTCTTTTTTTTAAAGAAGTATTAAAAGATTGACTCCTGCTTCTGATCAGAGCAACATTATGGCAGCTTCTGAAACCAGCTAAGACTGAACACCTTGAAAGAAAACCAGCCTTCTGCAGACATTACCAACCCAAGGCCAAATTGGCAGGCATTGATGTTAATCAGTGATACCTTTCAGGAAAGCTTTGTCATGTAAACTTTTCTTTGATTACTAATTAGCCCCTAAAAATAGGTTTCTATAGGCCTCTTAACCTTCAGATAACCCCATGGTTTGTCTTTATAAGCCAAGGCCCTATCCTTAGAAATTCACTGCATTGTTTTAGATTTAAAGACTGGTTTATGCTAGTACTAGCCTTCCTCAACCAGACAACTTTCAAAGGTGTTGACAAGCAGCTCCCACACAAACACAACACACAAATGTGGAGGCTATCAATCTGGGGAACTGTCTGTTCTGCACCTTGGGGTTTTGTAGGGTTGGCAGTGTTTTATGGGCAGAGTAGAACTCATTTCCCTGCTCCAAACTTCTCTAAAGAAATCCTTGGGCAGAAGACTGAACACGAACTCAAAGCAGAAAGGGTCTTAACACACCTATGTTTCAGGTCAGGGTTCCCAAGAGGTCAACTGAACTAAGCTGGCACGGAAGGCCAAAACGGATGGGCAATGGGCGACATGGAGCTGCACCAGCCAGCCTACCTCACCAGTGGCCTTGGGGGGAATGACGTTGCTGCCAGATAACTTCCCAAATTCTGGGAAAGCTCACACGCACCACTCAGCCTTGGGACATTGTGTATTAAAACAACCTCTTGCCTTGGTTTTTAAGATCATTCTTTTTTTTTCATTCCTTTGCCTTCCCTGCTGCATGCAATGAAAACCTTTATCTAAAAAGAGCCTTGGTGGTGCAGCAGACTAAAGTGCTGTTAAGTAGCACCAGCTGCCTGCAATTACTGCAAGTTCAAATCTCACCAGGCTCAAGGTTGACTCAGCCTTCCATCCTTTCTAAGGTAGGTAAAATGAGGACCCGGATTGTGGGGGCCATAAGCTGACTTTGTATAAAAAAGAACACTGCTTGGGCGGGGCCCAAAAGCCCTAAGCAGGTATATACAAAAGTATGAAGGCGGATTGTAAGCTGCCCTGAGTCTCCAGAGAAGGGCGGCATATAAATCGAACCAATAAATAAATAAGTATTGCTTTCAATCCTGTTCCACCAGGCAAGATGTAGGCAGTTCCAACCCAGCCTTATCTTGTTATTACATGGCCAAAGCATTTAACCTTGTCAATATCAGGCAAAGGAAGAAGAGTTTCCAAAATACAGAAACACACAAACATTAATTATGAAACCTGTACTGAAACCTCTTCTTCTCCTTTTGAGTTAACTTTTAAACAACTTCAAACAAAGAAAATGCTGGCAGTTGGCTCTCAGTTGCATCATCTGCTTTGCAAAGCAAATAGTGCCAAGGTAACTTTGCTTTGTAGGAGAGATACAAAAAAAAGCAATCATAAAGTATTTTTTTTCTGCTTCGAGCATTAGCTTTGGAAAGACAGTCTAAAATTTCTTAATAGGAACAGCAAGCAACAGAAGTTGTACCCAGGAAGTTTTTTTTGGGGGGGGTGGAGGAATTGAAATATATGGAGTACCGAGGACAAAATGTTATTTCTTTTTCCATTCAGATGACCTAGTCTATAAATGTTTTATAGTAAATGTTCTGATTACTGATGGGGAAAAGGCATGTCCTGGAAAGCTACAATTCTCACAAGCAAGACAGACAGACGCCACAAGGAAATATTCTATTAATCAGATCAGAACTTTCAATAACAGATGAAAGGGTCCCTGGAGGTCTTCCAGTCCAGCCCCCTGCTCAAGCAGAGACAAATGGCTGTCCAATCTCTCTTAAAAAAAAAAACCCTCCAGTGATGGGGCGCCCACAATGTCTGGAAACAAGCCATTCCACTGACTAACTGTTCTCAAACCAAAGCACCCAACACGCCCAGCAAAATGTCATCATTCTAAACAATATTAATAATTTCCATGAAAATATTGCAGGGAAAGTGGGCCAGGCTGCTTCTCTCCACAAAGCCAACCCACACAGCAAGGATTTTGTGTGTGTTTTTTGGAACGCCTTCGACAGCCAAACCTAACACAAAAGGGGTAAAAAAAATAATAATCATCAGGATAATTCCTTGCCCATTACTCAAGATTTTTCCTTTAAAAGAAGAAAATTCAAATTCATACAGGACATCTATGGTGAGCACAGCAGGCAAAGGTCATTGACTAAGAAATTCCTTTAAAATTATTTATACAGGATTGCTCCAAGTCCAGGAGTTGATAAAACCTGATAAAATCAAGAGACCCTGTTTAGCCCTGGGATGGGACACCACCAGGAAATCCACAAACCGGAACGACAAAATCCATTTCGGAGAAAAGCAACTTCCTAGAATTGCTACCCGCCTGAACATTTTTCTCAGAAAGACACTGGGGATAAAATCAACACTGCAGGGCAAGTTTTTTTTCCCCCCAGATGCAAACACGGGCCAGAGCCAATGCACTCTGTGCATGCTCAGAAAAAGCACTGGGATAAACCACAATCCTGCAAAAGAACCGTGCATTTATTATCTTTTAAACCCCTCCCCCTTTCTTCAAATGCAACCTTTGGACGGCTCTGAATTGCAACCCCAGCGCAGGAAATGCACTCTGCACTTGCTCAGGAGCTCCATCCCCACAGAGCAGGCGCGAGTCACGAAGCCCCCACCCACCCCCCAAAAAAAAGGGGGAAGGAGACCAAGCGGGGAGGAGACTCAAGACTATCCCAACCCCATTACCACGTCGGAGAAAGTCCAAAGGGCTTCCATGCTGGCAAGGGGACAACTCCCATGAGGGGGGGGAAAGGACTCCCAAGCCCATCTCAGGGACCCCCAAGTCAGGAAAAGCCGCTTTCCAAATCTTCTCCCCCCACAAAAAAATCCAACCTTCGTCGTCGGGCCCCTCCCTAAAAACACACCCCGAGGCCCGCAAATGTCTTGGCACGCCATCCCCAGTCAGGAAACCGAAGTGGGATAGACTGCGCCCGTCCGAGGAGGCTCCACTTCGCTCAAGGAGGGGGAAGAGAAAAGAGACGGGCGACCGCGCATGCGCATTTAAGGGGAAAGAGGGAGAGGAGAGAGACGGGCGAGCGCGCATGCGCGTTTCAGATCTCACCGGTTCATCCGGGTGAAGGTGTCGCAGCTCCGCCTTGAGGCGCCGGACGCTCCAGGAGCGCCGGGCCGACAGGAGCAAGTCCGGGTGGCGCTGCGCGGGGCTCTTGACAACGAGGCCCACCTCCTCCTCCTCGTCGGCTTGCCGGCTTTCCATCCTCTCAGGCCTCAAAAAAAACAAAACACCCTTCCGCTCCCCCGCACAAAAAAACAAAACACCCTCCTCACTCGACGACGACAGCGGCCTCTGGAGCGACGGCGGTTGCTTTTATAGCCTCGCGGGCGGCTCAGGCCACGCCTCTCGTATTATGGCGACGTCGCTGTGGCCGTCGGGGATTGGCCGTCCGAACGGCCTCGCGCCGGGACGTGGACCTATCAGAAGCGGGAAAAGATGGAAGGGAAAACGCGATAGGGCGGGGAGGAGGCCGAACGCGACTTGTCAATCCGGAGGCGGGAAGTTGATCTTTGGTTGGTGGTGCGCACGGCCGTCACCTGTTGAACTACCACTCCCATAATTCCTTGCCGCCGGCTTGGTCGGCGGGGGTGGAAGGGAGTTGAAGTCCACCAACGTCTGCAGCCTTTCCGCGTTTCGTAACCGTGTTTACTGTTGCTGTTGCGTTCTCATAAGAAACAAGGCTAAGCTAAAATTAGGTTGCTTGTGATTCAGCGGCCAGTGGTGGGGATGCAGCCGTCGCCTCAGAAGGAGGCCTGTGCCAGGCAGCCACATTACAACTGCATTAATGCTGGGTTTGCAACGTTGCATAACATGAATGCAGCAGCAACTCCCGTTTTGCAGCCTTTTAAGCTCTCTTTTTTTAAGAGTGGCAGCTTTTGCCTTTTAACTGAGATTTGGCCCCTGGGAAACTGAGATCCAGTAGAATCTTGGATTTAACAGATGAACAGAGCTGGAAGGGACCTTGTGGGTCATCTAGTCCAACCCCCCTGCCCACCCAAGCAGGAGACCCTCCACCATTTCTGACAGATGGCAATCCAGCCTCTTCTTGAAAGTCTCCAGTGATGAAGCTCCCACAACTTCCGAAGGCCACTTCTGTTCCATTGAATATAGAATGCCAGAGTTGGAAGGGACCTTGTAGGTCATCTAGTCCAACCCCCTGGGGGGCAGAACCGGTTCGGTGACATCATATCGTCACCGCTACCGGCTCGGGAGAACCAGGCTGAACCGGGAGGAACCCACCACTATTCTAAGCACCCACCCCTCTCCTAGAATGAAATATTTTGAGAAATATTTAAAAGGCAGAATATTATATTTCCCTGGATGAGAAATGGAGAAACATGCTCTTTGAAAGCAGCCGCCACCTTTATCAATAGCCCTCAGCAGGTAAAGAGATAGCTAGTTCTATTCATAAGCAAATACCCTCACCCAAGATCCAACAAAAGTAGGATTAGCCCTCAGTCACAATAGGAATTTGTGCTCTTCTCAGGATATGGAGATTGCAACAATGAGATGGTTGCTGCCTTCTCAGTAAACTAGCAAGATCTTGCAGGACTATTTTGCAAGCCCAGAATTTGAGCTCTTGGTAGAAAGAATATCAGAGTTGGAAGGGATCTTGGAGATCTTCTAGTCAAACACTCTGCTCAAACAGGAGACCCCATACCCATGATGGCAAACCTATGGCACGCGTGCCCAAAGTGGCACGCGAAGCCATGTCACCCGGCACACACGGCCTTGCCTGTTTGTGTTCCGGGTTTCTGGCACGCATGTGCATGTGACGATCAGCTGTCTGCATGGGCAGCAGTGCCGAAAACTGGTGTGCACATGGGCACACCAGTCAGCCAGTGATTGTTGGGCATGCATGCGCGCCAGAACCCGGAAGTTTGGCTTTTCTGGAGCACAATCCCTTTGCGCTTGTGGCAGTGCCGAAAAACAGCTGATTGTCAGGCACACATGTCCGCTAGAACCCAGAAGTTCAGCTTTTCCAGAGCGTGGCCCCGATGAGTGTGTGCGACATTTCTGTGCGACCTTTTTGGCACTTGGTGCCGAAAAGGTTCACCATCACTGCCTGTTGTGGCCCGCCAGCAGCCTGCATGGATCATGGCTGATCCTGACGACGAGGAGGCTGGTGTGGTGTCGTGCCAGGAGCCTGCGTAGCCGGCACTCATGTCGGACAGCGAGGAGGCTGAAGAGGATGTGGTGTCAGAGGCAGAGAGACTCAGCCTGGGCCTTCAGAACCTCCAGAGGCTCCTTCAAGTGGAGAGAGTGAAGTGGAGGAGCCTCTCCTCAATGCTCGAGCATGCAGGGCTGCCAGAAGGCAGGAGTGGCTACTCAGGAGGAGGAGGTCTCCTCGAGAGTAAGGCTTGAGGATAATTGGCCACTCCCTTAACCTATTTAAGTCACACGCAGTTAGTAAGTTTCTTGCTGGAAACAACTTGTAATTATCATCAGAGCATTTTTGGAAAAATCTTATTTTGTTTTCTGGGCTGGTTGCCAACCTTTGCCGGACTTTGGTTTATTCTTGCTACTTAATAAATTTGATAAGGACCGTTGGTGTGTGTCAATATCCTCGGGAATCCAGAGCTGGAGCAGAACAATGCCCTATATACCATTCCAAACAAGTGGCTATCCAGTCTCTTCTGAGAAACCTCCACTGATGGAGCAACTACAACTTCTGAAGGCGAGCTGTTCCATTGGTTAATTGTTCTCACTGTCTTGTCCCCCCTTCTAGTGCTTTGGAGAATAGGTTGACCCCCTTTTCTTTGTGGCAGCCCCTCAAATACTGGAACTCTGCCATCATGTCACCCCAGTCCTTCTTTTCACTAGATTGTTGTTGTTAGTTGCGAAGTCATTTCCAACCCATCGCGGCCCCATGGACAACGTTCCTCCAGGCCTTCCTGTCCTCTACCATCCTCTGGAATCCATTGAAGCTCACGCCAACTGCTTCAGTGACTCCATCCAGCCACCTCATTCTCTGCCATCCCCTTCTTCTTTTGTCCTCCATCGTTCCCAGCATTAGGCTCTTCTCCAGGGAGTCCTTCCTTCTCATTAGGTGGACAAAGGATTTGAGTTTCCTCTTCAGGATCTGGCCTTCTAAAAAGCAGTCAGGGTTGATCTCTAGGACTGACCGGTTTGATCGCCTTACAGTCCAAAGGACTTGCAGGAGTCTTCTCCAGCACCATATAGCCATATCTAATTCATGCAACCGTTCATCATCATATATTTTAGTCTCCAGGGCCCAAATCATCTTTGTGGCTCTTCTCTGCACTCTTTCCAAAGTGGCAAATAATTTTTTTATAATGTGATCAAAACTGGATGCAGCATTAGAGAAGATGACGAGAACGTTCCCAGTTCAAACCTGGAAATAAGAGGACCTTCCTTGGTCAATCACAGGGACCAGAGTTACTTGATTCAGTTGGGCGGCCCATAGAAATAATGAATGAATGAATGAATGAATGAATGAGACACAGCCCGTTACACACAGAGGCACGCAGAGAGAGACACACACACAACCATCTAGTGAAAAAAACACCAGGTTACTAAGAAAAAAAGGAATCAGTCACACTGCTCCATTCCTTGATCTACCCACATAAGTTAATCATCTCATTTCAAACATTCTGTGTTGCCAAACTAATGCTGTTGGCGTTTTTCGTAATCTGGTACTGACCACAAGCACTAAAGATTTAATTCATTTTTTTCCTCCCACAAGAAGTCTTTTATTATGCAAAATCGAAGGCCCTGTTTCTGACTTCCAACCTTTCATGCTAATACTGTCCCATTGTTTCTCTAGTTCCCTCCCTATTTTAATCTGGAGCCTTCAGATCACTTTACATGAACAAGTATTTTCTGTTTACTTTAATCTATAAATGTCTATCTCAGCCTTTTATCTCCATGTTCCTATCTGGTCTGTCTGTAGGGAGATGTTTTCCTACATTATCTACAGTATTTGTTAAGTTCCTTTGCCCAGGTATTGGAGCCAATACCTTCATTTGCATTTGAAAGTCCTTCTCTGAAGACTGGCAAATGGAGATTTTTCTCTCCAGTTCTCAAGAGGCCTCTCGTCCTGGAACTGATTTGTGGGGCTCTGTCCTTGGGATGTTGCATACACAGTGGGCCTGTTTTGGGACTTTGGCAGATTCTGGGTCAGAGTCCTTTTGCCTACCTCTCAGCTCCAAATCTTGCATCCCCCCCCCCCATTGTCTGGAGTACTGTTTTACAAACTTGACTACTTTAAGGTGGGTGGACTTCAAGTCCCAGAATTCCCCAGCCAGCTTGCTTTAAGATGCGTGGAAATTCCTAGAATTCCCCTGCCAGCATGGTATGAGATGGCTGGACTTCAACTCCCAGAATTCTCCAGACAGCATGCTTTGAGATGGCTGGACTTCAGTTCCCAGAATCCCCCAGCCAGCTTGCTTTAAGATGCGTGGGAATTCCCAGAATTCCCCTGCCAGCATGGTATGAGATGGCTGGACTTCAGTTCTCAGAATTCCCCAACTGGTATGCTTTAAGATGAGTGCACTTCAACTCCCAGAATTCCCCAGCCAGGCATAAAGCATGTCTGGCTAGGAAATTCTGGGAGATGAAGTCCATGCATCTTGAAGCATGTCTGGCTGGGGAATTTTGGGAGTTGAAGTCCACCCAACTTCAATTTGCCACGGTTGAGAACCTTGGCTGAAGATCTCTGTCTGTATTGGCATGTACGAATCTGGAACTGTGGAATTGGGATCGTAGAAACACCCAGGAGCATAGAAGAGTTCAGAGACAGATGCATAAATAAATGTCTTAAACGTATTTATTTATATAATAAATAATATTAACTATGTACAACAGAGATCAAGTCTCATGAGGAACAAACATGAAAAGAGAGAGATGGAGAGAGCGAGGTGGAAAAGGTTGGAGGGGGTTTTATACTCAGGGTAAGCCCCTCCTTTCCACTGAGTCCTGTTGGAGAAGGGCGGTATACAAATTAAATAAAAAATAAATAAATAAATAATAGGGGTGGAGACACTCTCCGCCTCCACTGGTGTCTATATGATACATGTGCCAATGGCTTGCAAATACTTGACAGTTCCCCTCCTTGCGAGCCAATGGCATGCAAACACACTAATGCAATGCATAATAGATTTTACCCTGTGAGACATAACTTCCTACACAGATCTTTGTGCCTATCCGCTGGTAGAGGTTTTGTGAAAATGTCAGCTGTTTGATGTTTGGTCTGACAGTGTGTTAAAGATACAAACCCCATCTCTACTAATTGTCTAACATTTTGATAACGGATATCAATATGTCTGGACCTTTTCCC